GATAATATAGATATATATATTTTTAATTAAAAACAAAAATAGTTCTTTATAAATTTATATCATTTAAAAATTTAATTAATTTATTTATATTAGACATATTTTTAATATTACGGAAATAAGAATATTCACATAAATATAAATGAGAAAAAGATTTTTTTCCATTTCTTGGGATGCTTGCCTTAAGATTTCTCCATAAACGTTCAATACGTTGAGTGTGTGTTGATATATCATTAGGGTCTATAAAGTTTTTGCTATGATTGACAGAGTAATGATCATATCCATTTTCATTCAGATTGTTATAACTTGGAAAAATATTTAATTTTAAGATATATCAATATTTAATCTACCCCTTCCATTTGTCTGTCATTATAGTTGAATCTTTATGGACGTGCTTAGTAATTATACCCAGAAGGGTCTCTTTATCTCTTTTCTCAGTTTCAGCTAAAAAAATATTTCATCATTTCTAGATATCCCACCTACAACCCAAATAGCGTTGGATTTTAAAATCCTCCCCGTGTTATTTTTTCTTTTAAAAACATGAGATTCGTCTATTTCAATAACATGTCCAGGACCCCCTATTCTCTCAAAGAGATGGCCTGTGCATGGCAACAAATTTTTCTAAATATAACATATCTAAAAAAATTATTGCCAAATTTATTAGATATATTTTACCATTTTCCAATAGTAGTTTTAGATAATTTTATTAAACCAAGACTATCACTAATAGAAGTCCTGGACACAAAAAGATACATTAAGTGAATAAATTTGTTAATAGGAAGATTAATATTTTCAAATATAGTACCTAATTAATAAAATATAATCTAAAAAATAATAATATTAAACCCTTTCATATAGAATAGCTGCTTTAGCATTTTGAACATCTTACTCTATAAGTAGCTCCATTTTTCTCTATTTTCATGTTATTATTACAACATGTGTGATTGATAAGAAACTCATGATCTTTTAAAAAAGCCATGGTCCTTGTATAAAAAATACACATATTGGTGAAATTTATGTTATCCATAAAGAGGTAAAATGTTAAATTTAAAAAACTTTGATATTGTATCAAAAAATTTCCTTCAAAATCCACACGATATTTATTTATCAAAAAAAAATCTAAAAATACGCCAATTGAAAGAAAAAGGTAACATTCAGAAATTTCTACCAAAATCCAGACAATCTAAAAAAAATAAATAAAAAAAAAATATTAAAAAAAAATAATAAAAAAAAAATAATATATGAAAATATGATCATTACTCTGTCAATCATAGCAAAAACTTTATAGACCCTAATGATATATCAACACACACTCAACGTATTGAACGTTTATGGAGGGATCTTAAGGCAAGCATCCCAAGAAATGGAAAAAAATCTTTTTCTCATTTATATTTATGTGAATATTCTTATTTCCGTAATATTAAAAATATGTCTAATATAAATAAATTAATTAAATTTTTAAATGATATAAATTTATATAGAACTATTTTTGTTTTTCCTTAAAAATATATATATCTATATTATCATTGTATATATGTTATGTTTATTCAAATAAATTGATTAATTATTTAGTATACCTATTTTTATTAAATTCTTAAATATACTCTTTTTTTCTAAATTCTTAAATATACTCTTTTTTTCTAAATTCTTAAATATACTCTTTTTTTCTAAATTCTTAAATATACTCTTTTTTTCTAAATTCTTAAATATACTCTTTTTTTCTAAATTCTTAAATATACTTTAGATTTTTTTTTAAATTTAAAAAAAATAATAAATAAAAAAATATATTTTAAAAAAAATAAATAAAAAAAAAATAAAATTTCCCCATGATTTAATCTGTTATATAATTACAAAAACATTTTAATATATACATTGCTTCTTCATAACTTGAACTTCCATCTTTCGGTAACATTGCGTCCATAAGCAAATATAAATCATCTGGTAAATTAAATATTAAGCTTAAAACTTCTTTACTATCATGATATATTAAATAATCATCTAATTCATCTATGGATTTTGTTTTATTCTTATTGTCCCATATAGGTTTATTTATATTTTAAATATTTTATTATTAAAATTTTATTATATTTATTTTTAATTTTACATTTTAATCATCTCTTACGTGTTTTAGAATTAAATTAACATCATTTTCCATAATCCTCTTTCGTCTCTAAAATCATATCTTTAATTTGTCTTTGAAATTATCTAAAAAAATCTCTGAAGTAGCTTCTCTGCCACCATAAAAATTTCTACGGAAGGCTATGGATTTTGTTTTATTTATTTTTTATTAACACTCTTATTATATCTTTTTACAACTCTATATATATAATAATATTATTTACAAATTAAAATAAGTTTTTACATATCAAAAAAAGAAAAGTTTAAGTTTTTATAAGGTTATATAAATCTATTTCAAAAAAACGAAAAAGAAAGAATTACGAAAAGGTCGTCCGAACCTTATTTGTCAAAGATCTATTTTACAAAAAGAAAGAAATTCAAAACATCTTTAACAAATATTTATTTCAAATTTCATAATATATTTGTTTATTAGTTATTATGTATATAGAATAAAGTTATATAAAAGTGATTTAACAATAAAAATATTTTATATACTTTTAGAATTGCAATTAAATTGAATATAAAATATAACTTATCATTATAAAATAATATATTTAAATGACATAAGTTATGGTATAGTTAAATTATAGATGTTATACTAATAAAAAGTATAACTTTACAAAATACAAAATTAGATATCATATCTGTTCGGTAATGGCCCATATCAATTTAATATCGGATCGGCCTCCAAAAAGTGGTATCGGTACACCCCTATTTTTAACCAATACCAATATTTTGTTAATCTTGGGTTTTTAATGTTGGTTCCCAGCCCTATACTATAGTAGAATTTAATTGCTTATATTTTAATTTCATGATTAAGATTTTCAAAATATTATGAAAGAATACTTTTTTTAATGATTATTTTATAAAACCCATGTTTTAACATTCTATTATTAAAGTAATATTTGAAATAATAATATATTAATTCATCTTTTTACTTTCATATGCTTTTTTAAGTTAGAACTGCTGGACATTGAGGTTGAAATATTTGCGTTGGGACATAATTTACGTATACAAAGTGTAGACTTTTTACACAATTTTCTTTAATGGTGTTAAATATGTTTTAAATTGGGGCCAGGGACGGTTAGATCATTTTCATCTGAAGAAGTAAGTACTATGGACATAATATTCTTAAAATAAATTATAAAATAGAATAATATTATTATTAACATTTTTAATTTTGATTGAATATTAATAGATTAAAATTCGACCGAAAATTTAACGAGAATTTAAAATTAAAATGAAGGAATGGTGGTTGATATGAATTTAAAACCGGCTTAAATTGTTTATATTGAAAAATAATTTAATTAGAGCTGTGTCGACCACATATTTTTCACCAATCCTATCCGATATTGGTTCAAACCCGATCCGATATTTATATTGATTTTTCACCACCCCCCTTTTGAACCAAATGTAATTAAGAAATCAATAAAAAATCGAATTATGCATTTAATTTAATTTTTTTATTTCTACAATAATTAAAAAATATTTACGGATATTGGTAGTATTAAATGAATTTTTCATTATTCCTCCCCGTGAAATTAGAATTCCGCAGAAAACGCATTTTTCAAAATTGTCTTTGTCTTTTATAAAATATTTCCATAATTCAGATACTATATTTTAAAAAATTCTTTTATAAAGTATAAATTTTTTATTTGAACGTGGGTCATAGACCTGCTTAAAGGTGTGCATACGTGAATTATATTAAGGCCCATCCTTTATATAATTATGCCGATTTTTTTGGATACCAACAAGCCTTGTAACTTAGATATGAGGTGTGGAACTACACCCGAGCCATATATATGTTTAGTAATGAGTATAGAAAAGAAAGAAGTATATATTGAATAAAGAAAGACCCTTCTTCCAAAATACTTATAAATTTTTATAATTATTTTAATTTAATAAATTATAGTTAGAAATTTGTAAATATTAAATTATAATAATAAAATTGGCGTTATTATTTAAAATAAATTAAACTTTGGTAGTTTTGTTAAAAAATCGGCTCGTTATTTTAGAAAAATATTGCCTAAGCCTCAAGATTTCGAGAATATATGTCTAGACTTTTGTTTCTTCTATGAGCAAAATCTTCAGGCTTGCGTAATATTTTTCTGAATAGAGCCATTTAACAACACTAAACTTTGGGTGTTCCTTTCTATTTTTATAAAAAACTTTTAAAATACTATAAATCTATTTTAAAAAATAAATAAAATTTAAGAGGTTTTGTGCATTTCCATTGTTTAAAAAAAAATTATTTAGAAATTATTATTAATGTAAAATAAATATACATAAAATAGCAAAAAAAAAAGAAAATTAAATTATCGGATTGGTTTTTACAGGTATCAGCTTGATTCGATATTTTTGGGAAACGCCAAATATCGTTGCCGATCCGATATTTAATATCGGCTCAGCCCTAAACTTTATAGAGATATGTTTTTATTTTTTTAATATTATGAAAAAATTGTAAGTAACGTTTAGCGTTACCGTTACTCAAGAAAAAGAGTTACCGTTACTCGTTCCCTATAGAAAAAGTAACGAATGGAGTTCCTTTTCTTCAAAAAAGGTAACGAAGTTAGTAACTACGTTACTTTACAGCACTATTATTTGGAGATAAGTTGTCGAGGACAACTAATGAATTAAGGTAATTTTTTAAAATGTAATTTATGTTGAACTATATTTTATGAGTCATAATTATGTAGAAAATTGGAATAAACTATATTTTTAAAAAATTATTTGATGTTTAATTTTTATGTAGTTTTTTCATTGTGTATGCATATTTTACACATAACAAATATAAATACACATTGACTTATTTTTCAATTATTATAAAAATAATATCTTACTCTGTATTAATGAAAACTAAAGATTATATACCATAAATTATTTAGGAATGCATATCCGAAGTTGTTATTAAGATTATAACAATGGCCCAGAAACTTAGACTGGCCATGATGGAGCCTATTTTGGAAATTTCAATATTTGGAGGTTTTAGTTGTAATATTGATATGTTGAACAAATCTGATACAGATGTAAATAATGCTGATGATGAGAGAAAAACATTTTCTGCAGTTGAGAATAGCTTAGATGATGATCAAGTCACTGTTGATATCAAAAAAAACTATGAATTGAATAATGAAACCTCATCTCTATTGCTGATCAATGAATCTGAAGCTCTAACCATGCGATTGCTACAAGAATTTTACACATCCAAAATTATTTTTGAGCTTTCTGTTTTGTGTGGTGGCAAGATTAACACAGAAATACTCCAACTACCTCATGTAGAAGATAGGAAGCCGAAAAAGGTAAATGAAAGCTACAAAGTATTTTCTTCTGATAATAATATAGGCAATGATAATCTTTATCAACATATTAACCAAAAAATCAATAATAGTTGCGATAAAAAATATAGTAGGACCAATTCTTTATCAGCTATGATATCAAAATTCTATAATAACAAAATAAGTTTCAAGAGGGCCTCACTAGCGGAAAATTCTATGGTTAAAAATATCAAAAGTCGGTTCAGTAAATTAAGCCTGGGATATGATAAAGGTTTATTATCATTTTTTACTAATAACTTTAAAAATATTACTATATTTTTATGAAATAAGATTTCTTAAATTCCTGTTAGATAGGGTTGTTGAATTACCCGATTTGGGTCATATTTTAAAAACGTCCTTATGTAAATCCTAAGCTTTGGTAGAGGTCCAAATATTTATACAATCAAAGACCAAAATTTTTAGAACATAATATTATTTTGGTCAAAATCTTAATCTGATTGTTTTAAATCAACTGAGATCGGGCCGTTTAACAACACTACTATAGGAGAATAATTAAATGAAATTAAAATAAGAAAACAGCAATAATATACACTTGAGTCCATGTATAGTTGGGTAATTACTATATTTTTAGCCGAAACTATCATTTTCACCTAGGAGTTTTTCTTAAAAATATAACAGCTCAAATTTGAAAGAAACTAATATAGATTAAAAAACCGATTTTCTTCGGCACACGTATGTAGAACCGAATTAGAACACATTAAGCCAATACCCAACTATGAACCCATAAACTAGTCAGAGTCTGGCCCAACTCTGTGGGACTTGGGTAAACTGGAAAATCCATTATGAATTGGAACTAGGTAAACCTAATTGTAAAATATTTAGCCCAGATTTTTTTAAACTTTATTTTTTATAAAAATATAGTAGTTTCTAATTTTTTTGCAAATTGGACAATTTTATTTATTTTTATATCAGAATTTTCTTTATATTCTCAAAAATGTTGTCAGGAATATTTTCATTTTTCAAAATCAAACTTTGATTTTAACAAAACATGAAATACATTTATATTCAGTGGTGTAGGCAAGGGGAATAAGTCGAACCAAGACTGACCCTAAATATTGATAAATTTACAAGATAATGCATTTAGTCACTTTTTGATCTTAAGCTTGGTCAAAATTTTATTATTAATAATTTTTTCCTTATACTCCACGAAACTATTACGAAAAATTTCCTTAAAAAAATACTTTATATATTGATTTTTTAATTTAGTTTTATTGAAAACACGTAGATTATTAACATAATTATTTGAACAAATATCATATAATTTTGATTATTTTGTTCGTTATCTTTGTTTGAAGATGAAAACGATTCTAGATAAGAGCTTGAACATCTAGAACCTAGCAATTTGTTATTTGCATAAGTTGATTTCCCCCATAAACAAAAAAGTGAATGATTTAAAAAACTTAAAATAATGAAAGATAAGGAATTAGATGAGCAAAATCTAAATAAATAACCAAATTGCACTAGTAATTACAACTTATTAGACAAAAGAATTTATTGATCCTAATCGTAATATTAAAAAATATTCTAAATATAAAACTAAACTAATACCTAAAATCTACACATATTTAAAATTTTTTTTATTTCTTTATAATAAAAAAAATTAATTAGTTTGTAAAATTAAGAAATATCATATACTAAAAATAACAAGTAATGTATATCGTCGACATTGGTATTAGAATTTAATTGCTTAAATAAAAAAATTAATTTTCCTGCCTTTTTTTGTTCATAACCTATTCTTAAGTTTCGAGTGAACAACTCCAAACGATGAGAATACTCTCGACTGAAGCAGATGATGAAAATGCAGTAAATAGTTGTTTTATTATTTTTAGAATATATACATTCTTCATCAAATTATCTTGGGCCCCCACCATTCAATTAGGTTACTTTATTTGCTATATTATCCGAAAACATAATTTTAGTAAATCCCTCTGTTCTTCTTTGAAACTTTACTAAGATAGACAAAATGTCAGTGTCAAGCTTCCCGTATTCCATTTCATTGGTTGTTAAATTTGAATGATATTTTGGGTTTAAAAGGTAGGATAAGAAGTGTGCTGGAGTTAAAGCTTGATTGTATTGTTTAGCAAAGGATAAAAGTTAATTCCTACTCATTTTTTTTTAATTATCATATAAGGTGGTGAAAAACTTTTGCAAATTCTTCCAACAATATACTGTGTCTGAAATATCTGTTTATTTCTTTCTAAAATTTTTAAACATTTCGCAATTAGTTTAGGATTTCAAATATATTTTCAGCAGCTCTTTTGAGTATGATATTTTCAATCTTTTTTTCTATTGCAATGTTGATTTTATTTTGAGTGCTTTAACATATTTTAAATAATTGGCGCATTCAGTTATGTAGGCATCTAAACTATCTACAACTGAGTTCCAACGAATATCTTGTGGAGTGACAAGAGATCACACTCTCTCTTGTTTAAGTTTGAAACTCTTGAAATACTTTGCCACATTATTTGTTCCCGGATACTTTTATTTTCCAAATCTTTTGAGAGTAGATTCAAAAAATGAGCACTACACCCATAGGTTATTATATAATATTTTCATTATTTCTTTTCAATTAACCCTCATTTTTGTCATATTAGCTGCATTGTCAGTGACAAAACTTGTAACAGAGATTATATTTATGCGTGCAATCATCAATAAGTTTTTGAGAATTCTAAATCCTTATTTGTCACTATTTAAAATTTTGATTTAAATCATTGATTTTTAAAAAAAATTCAAATTGATTTAAATTGGCCAACCCAATTAGATATATATTCCCCCATATGCATATTGGACCATGTTTTAATTGATTTACATAATACGGGCCTTGGGGCTGGTATAATGGAATTTATATTACATTCCCATCTTGCATTTGTCCGCCCATCATTAATGAGGATCAAATTTTTATTTAATCTTTCAATTACTATATTTTTAATACTTTCGTATCGTTTAACAAATTTTTATTGAGTGAATATCTTGAAGGTAATATAAATGCATGTTTTAAAAATTCAAATAATTTCTTTTAATATACATATTAAGGTTATTGGCGGTTGTTTCAAATTCAAATCTAGTTTACCTTGATTTTTAGATGATACCCTATCAATAAAATGTTTGGTTCACAGTGTATATTAAGTGTTTCAGCTTAATATCTATATTAAAAATTGTTTTTGCTTTTTGACATCTATCACATGATTTTTTAAAATAAATGTGTCTTGTTATAATCATGGCCATCAATATCTATAATATCAAATATAACATGATGATAAATACCTTTCAGAGAGTTTTAACTTAGTTTATTAATGCCTAAGTGGGTTTCAAAAGCCTTAGACCACAGGAATGGGATATATCTAATCCTTGGTGAATTACAGATAAACTACACTTTGTTCCTTTTCTTCCATTATTACTAAAGCTAATAATTAAAAAGCAACTTATTTTTTATGATCTTTACTTCCATATTCTTTGCTTTTCTCTAAAGATTATCTTATTTAACCATTGAAGGATTTGCTTTACATCTAAAATTAGTTTTTTTGTATTGAAAATAAAAGTGCGGTGTTGAATTAAAATTGGAGAGAACGATTGACTTTATTCGTAATTAATCTAAAGTTTAATATTAAGAAATTAAATTTATGAAGATTTAGTTTTAAATGTATAAATTAACTTTATACATGACACTAAGCCCTCTAGTATTGACATGCAACAGAGCTACGTTAAGTTATCCAATCCACTAAACTGGATATTTAATAGAAAGGGAAGAAATGAGAAGCCCTTCACACATGTGGGCAAGCCACACGAATTTATACGCGTAATAGTCCTAAGACTATTACATAAACATCGACAGATTAATACAACCCACACCCATAATTTGCATATATATTTTATTATTACTTTTTTAAGGCAAGGGGAAGGACCGATCATCATATAATTAATTATCAACTGTGTTTTTAATTTATTCCTTATTTTTAAGCACAAATCAGATTTTTATAAATCTTATCTTATGGATCTTCCATACCAGATCTGCAGCCGTTATCATCAAGCAGATCAGGTTAATTTTTTCTGCTAAAACTAATTTAATATTCAGCTAGTAAACACTGCAATAATGAGTTTGAACCTCCGACCTAATGTCAGGAAATCATACTCGGCAGCCCTGTAACTACGAAATTTATCTGATATACACATTGTAATAATTTTCCAAAAATTATAATGTAGCACTAGCTCATTATTTATTTAAAACGAGTGAAAAAAAATCTCATTTAATGTATGAATTATGATTAAATTAATTGTACATAGGTTCAATAAATATCGATATGCTTCTTATAAATCTGATCTTTTTAAACTTGTTAATAATTTTATAATGAAGCCCTTACTTTATTATCTCTCCTTTTTAGGCTAATTAGTAATTTATATTTTTATGGAAATTACGCTCAGATTTCAAAACCTATCAAGAAAGATAATGATTATCATATATATTTTTTAATATATTACATCGACTATAATTTATTTTAATTCATTTTTTTTGCCAATGATGTAAGGTAATTTTGCCGGAGCCAATAGACGTAGATCTTCCAGCATAATTAAGTTAGTCGGCCAATTTTTGTCATCCAAATTTGGGCACTCCAACAGGAGAATATTCCACGCTCCAAAAATTTCTGCGCTCGCATACGAAATCGCATCTGCTTCATATTTCCCCGTTTCGAGATTCATTGTTCCCAAAGTAACCAGTGATAACGATTATGTTAATATAGGTAATTTGATTACTTTTTGAGAAATATATATTAAAATATTTAAACTTGAGATACAATATAAAATTCTGTCCGACCACAATTCGAGTATTTTTTTCGAGAATACGAGTCGGGCCGAAATTTTGGATTGTGGAAAAAGTTTATATCCATTTTCGAGAGAATAAGAATTATAATTTAAGAAAATAGGTGGGGTAAAAAATGATTTATTTTCAAGTTATTAATTAAAATCTAATTTGTTTATCTGACTAAATTCAATTTTTAACACTTACTTAATTGATCATATAATTACAATTAATTTTTGTAAAGACAATTTTATTCGATATTATAAATAAGACAATATTCAAATTTTGATTTAATGTTGTTATTTTTATAATAATTGATCGTTACAAATGAATTATTTCCTATTGTAGACGAAGTAGAATACAATATGGCCATGATAGCTCCCAATTGGGTCGCCCGTTTCGCCCGTACTTGTATTCCCATGCTCATAGGTCCTACTAGTCAATCCTATAGCCAACCATCTTTTTATTCTTCTCAATCTTTTTATAACTCTTACGAATTTTCTCAACCTTTCATTGTTCCTACGTTCAAAATTCAAGATGTTTATGATAATTTTAATTACCAACGCCGATATTCGGATCCCCTTGATACTTGTATTTCATCATCCTATCTTACGCTCTCTTTCGGTTCTACTAGACAGCTATTGAATGCCATATTTCTCAACAACCATGAAAAGAAAAGGCCTGATTGGTAATTAAATTAATTAATTTTTTTTTAAAAAAAAATTCCGCTAGTAGGGTTGCAAAAATTGGGGTTATAGGAAGGCTCCACTCTTTTGGAAGATTTATTTGTAAGAACAAAGCCCGATTTGATTTGAATAATGGATTTTCAAATGAGTAGGGCCGTTTGGCATCACTCGGATTTTTTTTACAAACCTACCTATAAGCAAAATTACATTATTAAAATATTATCTCTATAATCACCCATTTTTTTAAATTTTACGTTAGGCAGAAGATCATCATATCAAATGATCTTCAAGAATCTGACAACTATCTTAAAACGCAATTAAACATAGAAATTGAAATTCAGGGCGCTTGCAAAAGACTTAACCAACTTCTCAACCTAACAACTTCTAAAAATAATTTTAATTTGAATGAAAATTCCCCATATAACTTACTTCTCGAAGCTTATATATATCCTGATTCAGATCTCGCTTTCGATAAAGAATTTACCCAAAACAATTATTTGCCAAAGAATTTTTCAAATAAAATGGAAACATTCCCAGGTGAGTTCCAAACCGAAGGTAAAAATGAAGCTGAAACCGATAACGGAAAAATATTTTCGTGCGCTTTGGAGTTTGTAAGACGATCGGAGAACGGTTTATTAGGCCAAAGGCTTGGCCAGGAGATTGCCGCTGCACTTAAATACCTCAAATTTGACCTAAGTTCCCCTGCTAGAAGTCCCATCAATCTCAAGAATATTGCGAATGGCCTCCAAAACACAGAAGATTCTTGCAATAATATATCTGAGGAAGGGATACATATCAAAGATTATAAGCCTTATACTGTTTGTTACGATTTAGACGCACTCGGTCGGTGGAATATTGTTATAGATCCGTGCATTACCATTTTATAAATAATTTTATACATATATAACTTGTTTTGATGTTAATTTTACCAAAGACTATGTAATATATCTTTATAATTTTTAACCATCACTTATATTTTAAATCTACCTCAAAAATCTATCATTTAATTATAGAATTTTTTTTATCTCGATGATCCATGTTAATGGAATATATAAATATATTTAATATAGAAAACGTTCAATATACTTTCATACTCCGAGGACAATTATACCTTTTTATGTAAATTATATTTATTTAGTATAATTATTATTCTATAAATTTGTGCAATTTTTTAACGTAAATTAATAATTCGCCGGAACAACTAATAAATTCTTAAAATGCAATGCAATTTATCTCACTCAGGTTTATATATGATATATTGAAATTAGAATTTTTAGCTCTATCATTATATATGTTTTATAGTATATATGTTAGCAGCAATGTGTTGTTTTTTTAACTATCCTTTTTTGAGCCCGTTTTTTTAACTTAAAAATCTGATTTACCGGAAATGTATTCCATCATGTTTGGAATAGCTACCATATGAATTTCAGGCAATTTTGACATGAATTTTGAACATATAATTTATATTAGTTTTTCCATAGATATTCTTTATAAATTATAAATGACTCGAAGGTTAACGGCAAAATTGTTTATATAATTTATAAGATAGGTATTCTAAACATGCTATAATACATTTCAAATCAGATTTTTAAGTTCAAAAAGAACGCGCTCAAAAAAGGATTTAAAGTTAAGAAAAATAAAACATTGTCGCTAACATATAATCGATTTTAACTTTTTTTAATCCTACACAAATTTTATTTTAAAGATGGAGAAATAAAAAAATTATATATTTCAAGAAAATTTCTGAGTCGAGGACCCTTACCGCATCAAATAATTGAATTTCCTGTTCCTTTATTATTAATTGTATTTAATATGTTTTTAATTTTATACGTTAATTTTTTATTCAATCTAAATTTTAAATCGTGAAATTATTATGTTGCAATATTTTTTACTTTGCTCAAATTGTCAATGTTAAAATATAACGTTTAAAATTTATTCATCATCATTATTGTATTTAATTTTAATATTAATAAAAAGAATATTATTTAGTTTAAATCCACAAATAATTAGCTTTGTAAAGTTAGATTTATCTATAAGTTTTTTTTATAGAGAATAAATTTTTTTTTGAATAATGAAAAAAATTTCTTATATTTTAATTATATGTTTGATATTTGTCAAATTCTCCTACCGATTATATTCCGATATTTAAATTATTATTTATTATATAAATTTTGAAATTAAAGTCAGAAAAGTCAATTAATCATACTGATAACATTAAATTGTTTGATTTAAAAAACATATTGGCTACCTAAGGTCTTAAATGCCCTCACTCCCCTAAGCCAGTGGCCTATTATCTATAATTTTTTTTGCATTTACATAACCTTCCGCTAGTCAGGTGGCTAATAAGTCGAAAAACACTTCAATTTTATAACTTAAATCAAACATAATGAATGTTACCATATGGAACCATTGGTTTTTTAGAAATCGTTTTAATAATTTTTTTGACATTTTGAAGCAGCTTGTATCTCAATATTATTGAAATATACATGCAATTTATCAATAATTTCTAACATATTTTCTAGTCACTTTACTGTAGTTACATTATAAACTTGTATTTGAAAAGTCTAAAGAAGGAGTACCTTAAATAATCATGATCATAAGTCACCCGGTTCCTATGATTCCTGTGCGCCGCCATGCCACCGCCGACCCTCTATATAGATATTTCATGTTTATTGGTAAATATCTTTAAATAGAATAAATTTGTAGAAAAATATTTACAATATATAGTACTTTTACCAGTACCAATATCATTTATATTTCTTACACATTTAAATACAATTTGAAACTTTACTCATATATAGGAGATCTTTTTAAGTTCTTAAACTTTTCAGTAGAGAGTGTCCGCTCAAAAACGCTCTACAATCAATTTAGGGCTACACTTTCGCAGCTAATTGAAAACCAATTGGTTCCTAATGATTCGAACAGTCAAAGTATTAAATGCTTAAACAAAATATGATACTGTACCATAAATTTCTAATAATCGAATTCTAGGTATTTATCCTAATTTAATATTTTTACAAGCCTTCTGGATCATCGATTTCAACTATTTAAATATAACGATTTGTCGAATAAAAATCTAACCCCAAATCAATTTTATTTGAACAATTGGAAAATATTCAATATCAACAAAATAACACTGGATTAACAGTGACAAAAATTTATATCTTAATAAATTTTCCCAAAACATTCTGATTCTAATAATGAGATAATCTTTGACAAACAATAGTAAGAATGCTATATGCTTTTAGGACATCAAACAGAGTTGAAACTGACGTGCTGAAATTTTGGAAGCGTAGGACTAGAATTACAATTTGCAGTCATCAATCTATTGATATTACTTTATTTAATGAAAGAATCGTGCCAATATTATTAATAATTCATTCTGATTATTATACACAGGGTATTTAACTCCAATGACTAACAGGACTTTACAATAATAAAGATTTTTACTATTTTTAAAACATGACTTTCATTCAAACGGGAAAGAATTTTTTAAAAAAAGAAGAAAACAGTGCTATCTAAAACCTCGATTTAGGCTTATTTAAAAAAAGTATGACCTGAGCTCGAGATTTGGGTAAAAAATAGTTAAACATTTTTGCCATTTATATGCGAAATCTCGAGGCTTAGGAAATATTTTTTTGGCTAAGGACTTGAAAACCATTTTTTTAAAATACAGAAGTTAAGTTTAGACAACATTGCACTTAGTATGAATATAAATGAATTTAGTTAAATCGAAATGCAATGGGAAACATAAAAATAATTTTAAATATGAATTACGGCCGGGAAATTAAAACGGATGGGCTGAAATCAAAAAAAAAATTAGGGGAGACCGGGTTAAAGCGATTGATGTCATAACAATATGACGCGGATGAATTTTTAGCCATTATGCATAAGACCTTAAATTTGATGTGAAAATGTATTTTTAATCTAATTTTTTACGTGTGTTTATCTTTAGAAAAATATTCCTGATTTGAGATATTTTGCCAAAAAACTGTTTTTTGACAAAAAATTGTGAACATCTCTAATATATTTTGCTAAAATTTAAATATTTGTATACATGTTTCTTATAAATATAAACTTTGACATCATATAAAAAGATACTTCTAAGCAAAAAGTAACATTAATATATAGTTTGTGTTATTTAGAATAAAACTTTAGGAATAGTCAGAATAATTCAAATGTACGATGTGCCTAAAATGTGCACATTCAAAATGGGCTATTTTTAATATAATTTTTATATTCCGGTATTGTATTGATTAGTTTATACTAAAAGTTATGAATAGATGTCAAAATTGAACAATATAGTTATGTTCAATTTTATTTTAATTATTTTACCCTCATTGGATATAAGGTAAAATGACACACTTCGCATAATTAATCAGCTCCAAAAATATTATAGGTAGAGATATTTTTATTTGTAGATGAGGCATTTGACCACATATAAATCTATAATTTGTTTTGTTTGTACGAAATTTTATGGTAATGCGAAATACCAAATCTTTTACCCCGGCTTCCCCTCGAGCAAAATATATAACGGGCCTTGCAATTTGTGTGTAAAATTAGTCGAACCGGACAATTTATAAATAAAATAAGAAGGGACTCTCATCTCTGATTTTTCGTAAAATTTCAAAAGGCCTTTAATATATTTTTATGAATTTCAAACTAATATTTTGAATAATACTATTTAAAAATAAATCACAATATGCTTATTTTTTTGTATTTTTTAAGAGGTGTCTCAAACTGCATTAAATCTATAGGTAATTTAGTAAACTTCCAAAAAATTATTCAATTTATTTATATGACACAATTACACATGCACAATACAGATACTAACAGTTTTTGCAGAAAGAGATAGCCGCAGAGGAGAGATATAAGAATAATTGACTTTGGAAAAAATTAGATATTGATATTAAAAATGTGATGGCTGAAAGGTTCGTACAAAAAAATTTTAATATGCAGATGCAAACTTTTTTTTACAGGCCTGGCCGGGCAAATTAAAATAATTATAATGGATGGGGTGGACAAATTAAAAAAAACTATAAAGAGCTGGGCCTGGTGAATAAATTTTTAGGCCAGATCGAACAACTTGTTCAAAATTTTTAAAGGGTCGAAGCGGGCCGTGATTTGCCGGCCTCTAATATAAATGGAAAATCACGTTGCTGACTGACTAATCAACGATAGTTAAATTTATCATGATAAATATGGGTCAAATAAAATTGTTTAAAAATGCTAATGGCGTCTTCTACATCTCCCTAGCCGATGAAAGCTATAAAAATAATTTATAGAAAGTCATATTCTAAAATAATATCGAATTATCGTTTTAATGTCAAAGGTTTTCATTGAAATTATGTATGTTATAATTATAATTTACTACACATATGTAAATTCGGTCGAGGGAATTCCAAATAAAATAGGTAAATCCAAAAAATGCATAATACTGTTGAGTTATTTTATAATTCTAAAATTCTGTTAAGCCAAAGTTTTCTTTAGTGTAGTGGTAAGATATTTCTATGTTTTTTTACTTTCATGTCTGGCATAAAGTATACACAAGTAGCATGAATGTCTAGAAATGTTATTTTAGTTAGGGGAGGGGAATATTTATAGGAGTATTCATACATTTAGACAACATATTTCAATTAATGTATTATAATTATAATGATTTTAGAAAATTAATTCATATAAGAAAAAAAAGGTAATGCAAAATAAAATCGTTGAAAATTTAGTTATTTTATTCCTTTATTAATTGAAGTTTTATCGTTTAGATATAAATATTTTTTTGCCGTTTAATTAAATTTTTCTATTTAGCTTTTATTATAATCGGTTTCATTTAGAATCAAAAAAGCTAAATATTGCATTGGTTTTGCTTTTAAAATATCGGTATTATAAACCAAGAATATTTTGATCAAATATCATCTTATGTAAGGATTATAAGGCTAAGGATCAATTTTAAAAGAGTATTATATTGGTCAGTATTTTTTTAGATTGATAATTCATTATTAAAACCATATCAATTGTTTATATGAATACATTGACCCCACATAATATACACTTATAATAAGAGTTAATTCCGTCAAATATAGTTGACATCAATCATTATAATCCGAATAAACACATGAATTAAAAGGCTAGTTCCGATTTTTAAAAACGGCACTCAATACTTCATCTGAAAAAATATTACGCAAGCCTGAAGATTTTGTTCATAGAAGGAACCAAGGTTTAGGATATATATTATCGAAATCTAGAGGCTTAAGCAATATATTTCTAGCCAAAATATTGAGTTAGCCGTTTTGAAAAATCGGCTCAAAACGAGCCGTTTAACAACACTAAACACGTGTTTTTAAACGGCTCGTTTTGAGCCTTATTTCAAGAAATTTATTAAAATATTAATTTTTTTTAAGAATTCCTCTTCTAAAATTATCCACACACTCATCGTCGAAAAAACCAGATTTTAGAATTAGCAGTTTGTCCTAAAGCCTCTTCAATTCTAGGCTTTTCTACCGGTTTCTTTAAATATGATATAAGTTTATTTTTTACCATTTCCTTTTGTGGAAGCCTTATCCAAGGAGCTCGAGTTTAATATTGAATGTATAAATATTTATAAAATTATAAAATAACGATTTTAAATTAAAGTAGAAGTAGCAGGCGCGTAGCCAAGAAATTACTATGGGGTGGGGGGGGGGGTTAAATATTGAAATAATTTTTTTAGAGTATTAATTAGAACTTATCATCATATAAAATTTATTAGAACTTGTAATTTCAAACACAAATATAAAATATTGGAAAATACAAAATAAGAGCTCTAATACAGTTAAAAAATAAAATATTATAGCTATATAAACCAGTAAGAAAATCACAATAA